CACTGGCATAAATTAAGAAGTTTAAAGATATCTTCCTACTGTGGCAGGGGGTGGGGGAGGGCGGGGGGTGGAGAAAGCATTCAAAGACTATAATAAAATGTTAAAGAAGATGATATTAGGATAGTAGACTTAAATTTGTGATATAACTAGTAATGTCATGTTAGAATGCTGTTTCAACCTGTTTCAAACTAAGCAGGATTCTTGCCCTCCACAAACTTTGTAGTTTGTTCTCACTTCTGCCTTTCTTCAAATCAGAAGAATCTCTCCCATATAGATGTAGGTTGCATACACTTTAAATCACAGCTTTGAGTTTTGTAAAAAGAATAAGTATCCTAGTTACATTGATATTTACTTAAGTACTCCATTAACATTGAACTTATTTCAAATGATGGAATTCATATTAAGTGATAAAGTATTGATAAAGGCTGGACAAATGATTTAACCTCTCTGTCCCTGAGTTTATCTCTGGAATGGGGATAGCATTGTTATGAGAATTAAATAAACCATGCAACATACGTGGCACATAGTGTTTAAAAATATAAGTTCTTAATATTATTATAAAATAAAATGGTTACTCACTCTTTTGTTGAGACAAATAACAGGCCACAGGCTGCAACCCAGAGTACAACAACAGCAGAGACAACCACACAGCAGCCATTTCACATTGACTGGGAGAGCCTTTTTTAAACACCCATTCACACGGCCAATGCTGGTCTTAAATTCTTCTGGGGCCACCTACAACAAGAGCATAATCTTTAACAGTTTATGGGCAACTTTCCACTATTTATCTCTAAACCTAAAGAAAATGTTTGTCTTATTACAAGTACTTTAAGGAAATATATTTCCTCCCTTGTGGCATGGCTCAGTGGTTGAATTTCAACCTATGAACCAGGAGGTCATATTCATTCCCGGTCAGGGCATATGCTTGGGTTGCGGGCTCAATCCCCGGTGTGGGGTGTACGGGAGCCAGCCGATCAATGATTCTCTCTTATCATTGATGTTTCTCTCTCCCTCTCCTTACTTTCCCCAATAAATACATATTACATATTCCTAGATGACATCAGAAAGAAAAAATATATAATTTCATGTTTACAGAATTCATCCTGATGTTTAAAAACAACCTTCTCATATTACCAACAAAAAAAATGACAACAATAAAATTGGTGGTAAAGAATAACCATCAAGCAGTCATATTACCAAATATTCTCAATATTAAGGCAATATTATTTATATATTATATATATTTAAAAAAAAAGACAACTGTCAAACCTTTCCTCCCTGGCAAATTTACAACAGAATTTTAACACTTGCCATTATTTCAATTATTTGTAAGTAAAAGCTACATTTACAAAAGCCTATAAGGTGAATACACTCAAGAACTGGTCTTAGTATTCAGCATAAAATGGACTCATGATTGCTGTAAATTTTGAAAGTTGGAAAGTCATTATACAAATTTAATATTTGTAATCACTACCTCCATTCCTGGAAGTGGCTGCTTGTGTTTCTCTGTAAACCATAACAAAGTCAGTTCAAAGGCATGAGAGGCATAATTAGATTTATATTGAAAATTTTGCTTGGGGTTATACAATTCAAAGTATACTAAATATGGTTTGATTTCAGTGAAATCATATTTCTGAATCACAAAATTATTCCCTTTGATTTAGAAAGCTGGCAGGCTAATATCTATGGGAGGGAAATCTAGCACCTGGCTATGCAAGTAACACATGAAAATGTTAAGAAAAAGAAGCTGCTGTAAAATAAAACCCCAATTAGCATGTCTGTTATCCTTTACAATTCTTCTAAGTAAAAATTAAACTAGAGGAATCAATGAATTACATTTTTGTCTTTTAATCAACACTAAAAATATATACCTATTAGCAGATGTTAGAAAGATACATGATCACAGAACTCAGCACCTCATGATTAAAACATTAAGTAATTATATTAGTTTTATTAGAACCATTCATGTCATTTTTCTTCCAAATATATTAACTAACAACAGTTGTGAAACTGTGAGGCTCAAAACTGTATTAACATGGGGAAAGTAAACTAATTTTGTTCTCCATCTAGATGGTTGGCAATGAGTAAAAAGAATTACAATTAAATGCCTAAATTTTCAAGGTAAATATGAAAATAAACTGAGATAACCATAAATTATAACTGAAAATATAAACACTAGCAGGCTAAACACATTAGACAATAAATCAAGATCTGAATTCTAGTAACTTATTGGCTATAACAAATCCTAGGCAAATCCATTTAATTTTTCTGAGTTTTAGTTTCCCTGATACATAAAATGAGAATAATAGTCTTGTTTTATAACCTCACAGGAAATGGAAATTATACATTAGAAAGAACCTTCTGACTGTAATGCTTTGAAAAAGGAAGACAGTGAATCATATCTATGGCTAGATTTGGAGATTTTGCATGAAGTTTCACCCAAACAGCTTTGCAACACATTTAATTATAAATAAAAGGATAATCTGCTACATTTTGAAGTCAAATTCAATGCTCGTCAGTACTTAAATTTTTCAGAGCAAAAATGATATCCTTTTTATTTTATTTTAAAGCAATTTTTATAAGAATTTACATTTATTTGAACCAAACTGATGGCATGCCAGGAAGCAAGATGTTCCTAAAAGATGTTCTTTTTAAAAACAAGGTACCAAGTTGCTATCCTAAGATTTACCTCTCAAATAGTGATTTTTTTTTATTAATTAAATCTTTATTGTTCAGATTATTACATTTGTTCCTCTTTTTACCCCCCAATAACTCCCTTTCAAACAGTGATATTCAACTTTTTTCCCTAGTGAATGCCTGAGAAACCAAATAGAAGTTAAATAACAAAAAATATATTGATATATTTATCTCTAATCTGTAACATAATATTACTATCTGTTCTCTAAAACTGTGCATCCAGAAATATGAACACATTTTTATAGTGATGAATTTTGATATAAAATGTAAATGGTACAATTATTAAATCATTATGTTATTGGCAATGTTGGCTCTCGGTTTTTGAGTTTGGCAAAGAAAGAATTCAGAGCCAAAAATTCTAGCACAAGAGAGTTTATCTATACTAATAAAAAAGTGATATGCTAATTAGACTGGATGACTAGACATTTTCTGGATGTCTGACTTCCCCCCTCACAAAGCCACGGTGGTGGGGACTGAGGCAGAGGTGGTTAGGGGTGATCAGGCCAGCAGGGGAGAAAGCAGTTAGGGGCACTGGGAGCAAGCAGTTAGGGGCGAGATCAGGAATGATCAGGCTGGCTCGGGGGAGCAAGCAGTAGGCGCCTGTGTGGGGGAGCAAGCAGTTAGGGGTGAGATCAGGTGAGACCAGGCTAGCAGGGGACCAGTTAGGGGGTGATCAGGCCAGCAAGCAGAGGCAGTTAGGGATGATGAGGCAGGCAGGCAGGTGAGCGGGTAGGAGCCAGCGGTCCTGGATTGTGAGAGGGTGGTCCAACTGCAATTTAGGCCCAATCCGGCAGTTGGACATCCCCTGAGGATTTCTGGATTGCGAGAGGGTATAGGACAGGCTG